GCGCCCCCCCGGCCCCCCCCCCCACACACATCACGCATAGTTTAAGGTGAAATTTCTAGTGGTTTGAACTCTTTTTAGACAGAAGTAGCCAACTGTCGCCCGCCCGGCCCCCCCCGCCCCCGCGCCCCCCCCCCCCCCACACCCCCCCCCCTGCCAGTTTCTTTCTTCTTCGACCCAATTTTGGAACTTTGAAGAGCGCCCAAAATCTCCGCAATCTTAAAGGTTTGAATGAGATCTCATTTACAGATACGCTCTTTTGCAACTTTTTTCCTTCTTTATTTCTCATCCTGAGTTTTCTTCTGTCGCTGTTTTTGTAACCTAATGTTCATACCCTCTATTTAGAACCTCAAGCAAATTGGCGAGATTGTTATTTTCCTTCTTTTTTTCTTTTTTTCCTTGGAATTTTAAAGCTCTGTAAGCAGTAACGCTGGCTTTTTTGTTGGTGTGTTAAAAGAAGGGGAACTTGGTTTTAGCCTTTTCTTTTGTTTTTCCGTTCATTAACTGAGAATTAAGGAAGCCCAAATGGCATTGAGTTCCGATTTGAGATCTAGAGGAAGTAAAACAGTTTCTTTTTGTTCTCTGTGAAGGAAAGGGGTAAAATTTCTTCTGGGTTTTTCTTATACATTCAAATAGAATGGGAAAAGTAAAACCAAATTGACATTAGGTTCAAATGCTAGTTTCAGAGGGATCAATGCTTTTATTATGGGCAAAACCCAATTGATATTTTGATTGTTTGTAAGTGTAAAAGGTTGTTGTATTGTTGGCAGTGAGGAGGCAAGACCAATCTCAAGGGTGTATCCATGGAGACAATATCTCCATCGTCTTCTTCTATGTCCACACGAATGGAAGGTTCGACCTTCGATGAGCTTTCGATGCATCAGAGCCTTCTTTTCTCTGATAGTTTGAAGGTAGTCACACTCAGTTTCAATTTCCCATCAATATCTGTTCTCCAACTCAGTTTGCGGATAAGGATAAAACCATTTATACTTTTGAGTGATAGTAGAGAGTCGCATTTCACAAAACCATCTCTTCAGTATTTTGAAGATTTTCATCCAGAATATCCAAATTTATTTTCAATTTTATTCTTAAAGTTAATTGTTTGTCAGTTTCAAATTTGAAAAATTGGTTAGTAGGTGAACTTTACACTGCTGCATTCTGTCCTGCTTAGTCTTGTATAATTTGCAAATCTGTTTAAATGGGCATGGGATGTCATTTAACATGATAATGGCGGTTATCAGGATTTGAAGAATTTGAGGTCTCAATTGTACTCAGCAGCGGAGTATTTCGAGTTATCCTACACCAATGACGACCAAAAGGAAATGTATGTTGATCGTAAAATTAGAGAGAGCTATGTTTTTATCTCTATTAGAAGAAAATTTATACTACCTTGTTATTTATAGCTGACACGATTGTTTTGTCAGAGTGGTGAACACCTTGAAAGATTATGCCGTCAAGGCTCTTGTTAATACCGTGGATCATTTGGGTTCTGTGTCATTCAAAGTAAACGGCCTTCTTGATGAAAAGGTTGATGAGGTTTCTGGGACTGAACTCAAGGTTTCCTGTATTGAACAGGTAATTAAGATTTTTAGTCTTGGACATTCATATGTTAGGATGTTAAAAGAAGAATTTGATACCGTTATGTGCTAACGAAATTGCATAATAAAGATATTATGGCTTGTCAAATTAATTTCCCTTGGGCTTTCTTCAGTTCCATTTGAAAGATTGGAAAGAAAGAAAAAGGCAAAGAAAAAGATCTTTTCCTTCACTCTTAGTGCCTAAGGTGGGACAAGATTTCAGTAACCTTCAAGAAAAATATTGCTATGTTGCTTCCACTTTTTAACCACTTTCTTCTACTAACCAACATTAACAACGATTTTTTTCATGACGAAATAAAACCAAGAATAATTTCATTCTGAATTCTATAGTAAATAAACTATAAGCTCATTATGTGTTCACTTCTTTTGCAAATTTTAGAGACTTCGGACATGCCAAGAGTATATTGACAGAGAAGGACTTTCTCAACAGTCTTTGGTGATAACAGCTCCCAAGTACCATAAGCGATACATAATACCAGGCAAATCACTCTTCAACTTGATACTGGCTTTCGTATGTTTGCTTTACTTTATGGGATAATCAATTAAGTACTTGGCATAAATATACTATATGATATACTAATAAAATAATGATAATAACAAGATGATTGTCAAACATTTTGTAGCTTGACATTTTGTACTGTTTTTCTAGCATTTTCTGTTGATAGATGGAGATTTTCTGGACTTATATGTAATAACTTATGAAGTTGTAATAACTTTACTTATGACGTTAGTATCTACACTTTGTGGTGCTGGGAGTGTAGATATATATGTAGCAGCCATATGCTGTTATTGAAATGAAGCTGGCTGAAGCTTCAGTGCGAAGCTTCATCCTGTTTTCTTTAATATTAAAAAAAAAGATAATAACACTGCATTTAAAATCCTTGGCTTTCAGTAGGTGCATCCATGCCTGAATCAGGGAGACATGCTGTTCCCCAATATGAAGAATTTAATCAACCCTTGGATGAGATTGAGTCACAGCTATTTCAGTCTGGTACTGTCTTGTTTCTTTTTTCTTTTTCGTTTTTCCTTTCTTTTTTTTGTGTATTTAATCTTACAAATGTATATATCCCATGACTTATGAGTCATCCTACTCTCTTCTAGCTGTACGTTCAACAATCAGGGATAGGCCAGCTTCATTCAGGTTAGACATTATACTTACTAATTCAAATATATCTTCATCAATCAAAACTATGATTTTTTAACTGAAAGCCTCATGCACTTAATGATTTTATTCAGGAGAGCACGTTCCCCATCACCATCTCCTCGTGCTCGTTCTTCATCTCCTTTAAAATTGCGCTCCTTATCGCCATCCCCCCACCCAGGGAGACATATTACTACTGGTATTGATTAAAATAATTTTTGCATAAATCTTGTTAAATCCTAGGTGGTCAAATAACACCGTAGTCATGTCTAAATTCAACAGTTTCTTAGCGATTTTTATATTTGTTGTAAAACAGATAGAAGAGCTGTCTCTCCACTTCCAACATCAAATCCTCTTGCACGCTCAGGATCGATGACTGCTAGGCCAACTCTTCTCAACTCATCAAGCACTAGACGACGGGTATGACTGCACACTTTAAATTCTGACCTTTTCTTCTGTGTGATATTTGCCAGTTTATTAGTAGTTTTTGTTTGCACTTGAGAGTATAACATTAAAGAGTAAATCTTATGTATGTTGGCAATTGAAGTATAGAACTTTAAGTTTAAGAAATCCCTTATTAGCTTATGTGGTTTTTCATCCTGGACAATAAGTGGAACATTGAAAAGGAACGTGATACAATTCAAATATCATACTTTTCTTTCAAGAAAAGGGCTAACCATGCATATTCTCTGAGCCAGCAGACTTGATAATTCAAGTGTCATACACAATTTCTGACATTGATTGGTATATCATGTCGGCTACAAATGGACAAGTCAAATTTTCATAATATAGGCTACTAAAGAAAAAGAGTATCTATGTAGTAATGGTTTCCTTTCCAAGGAAGTATGCAGTTGGTGTCCGGTTAGAATGATGCAAGCACAAAAGAATCCGGATTCTGTGACTAACATAAGTCGACCCATATTCTTGCATATTCAGATTGGGGCAAGTTAAGGTCGGTTATTAAATCCTAGGTAGCTACATAATAGATGTTTTAAATTATCATCCTTTTCAATGACACTTCTATATTTAAAATAAGCAACTTCTCTAACATAAGACTGTAGAAATTTGGATAAGTTGCAAAACTGCCCTCGCGAAAAACACTGAGAATAGTACTACCCTTCATTATTTCAAGTTCTCATGCTGTTTAATTTCGTCAGGAGATCTAAAATAAATCATCTTTATCCACTTTGTAGACTTGACAAAGTATGATATCCATTTATCTCCATCAGAAATGAAAATAGATTTTTTGATTTCTAAAATCCTATATGTTAAAGCCAGTCCCATGCAATATTAGATCTAAAACTAGCTGTTTTCTGATGGCCAGATGTAAAGGTAACTTTTGATGTTCGTTTTGTCACAGAAATGCCCCACTGTTAATTTACTTTAGCCTCTTTTGTATATATATGCAGTTTCCTCAAGAAACTCAGAAATCATCGTCTATGCGCTTGCATGCTGAAAGGATTGATCATAAAGAGGACGAGCACAACCCGGGTAAAAGCAAAGGTTTCCTCAAGTCTCTTCTCACCAGGCGCAGGACTAGGAAAGATGAGATGCTGTATAGTTACCTGGACGAATACTGATATAGTCATTTGCTCATGTTGAGATCACGGATAAGAAAATCCCAAGCATCTCAAAAGTCATTATCCTTACTCATCAGAATTTGGTTTTATATTTGTCTCCTAATTTTCTGTTATCGCCGCTCTCATAGGATATTACTGTGTAAAGTCCGATCTCTCCCTTCTCCAGTTGAAAGAGTTCTGTATTAATTTTGTATGCCAAACAATATATCGGGAAGAAATCAAATGCATTTTTGCTCCCTTTCGTATTTGAATAGATGGTATCCTTGCCATCAATCATTTTGCTCTCTTTTGTATTTAGATAGATGATCTTTTCCTTCCAAATGTTTCTTAAAATCATATTTTTCTGGTAATTCGCAATCCTCACAAATTTTATGCAGGACGTTTTCGGCTACTAGGTGCCAACATACTATTCTAATATATACATTTTTGTTTTATACATGGAAAGGTTTTTCTATGTGAAACTGAAAAAAGGACATCATGTACCATGAACTGTGCTTCTTATTTTATGTCATCCATTCTTTAAATTCTTGAAGTTTACTCATCAAGGACGATCACAGTGGAGAACTTACCACCCTGGCAAGAAGATACGAAGAATGGTAATAACCTTTTCTTGGCAAAACACAAGGCATTTTGTTCCCATAAAAGTTGATGTAGGTGAAGCCTCATTGTGATGAAGATTGATGAAGACCACCTTCAAGTTTCAACAATCAAATTCATCATCTCATTTGGTGCCCCCAAGGTATATGAAAACTTCAACTACGCTACTGTTGTGTTTTATTTCATTGTCAGCACTGTCTATCTCAAGCCAGGATAAAGGAGAAGGGTCGCGTTAGATAGCCGACAACCAGCGTAAAATATGGTCGGATCCACATGAAAATGAATCCTATTAGCTATTTGTTAGGCTGTCTCGACCGTGACACATTGCATTGATGCCACCCCGATGCAATGATAAATAAGCAAGAATGGTTTGCGTTCTAAGAATCTACAATCCTCTAATAGGTTGCCAAATAGTGTAATGCATAGACTAGAACGATAAAAGATGAGAAATAGTACGATACTTTTACAGGGAAATAGAATCATAGCAACTTGGAATTAGGGCTGTTTAAAGTTTGTTGAATTCTTTGTACAAGAACATAGTAATAAAAACTAATAGCGATCAGACTATTACTGCTCTTACTCATCATAACACTATTAAATATTATTTTTAAGATTATTTGATGAGTATGCAGGTGGATATGGTGTAAGTGCACCTCAACCTATAGGTTCTACAAGCTCTAGACGGGGCAAAGGTAAGTTTTTGACATGCAATCTATGATAGAGAGGCTAACAAGTATGTGTAATAGCCGTGGATCAGGATCATCAACAAGGAAAATTTCTGAAATTGAACAATATATACTTTTAGTTAAACCTCAAAATAATGTTGAATTTAATATTTTACAATGATGGAGAGTATATACAACAATTTCATAGCCTGTACTTTTCACCATGGTTTGTGACTTACTAACAATGCATGTTTCTGCTATAGCTTCGGAATCCGCCTTCAGCATACAGAACATTGTTGGATCTATCTACCTTATAGGCGGTAATGTGCCTACAAGATTGCTAGAGGTACGAGAAGAGAACTCAAGGCGTCGACCATATTACTAGTATTGAAGATAGACTTAAAGAGTTGACAGTAGAAGGTAAAAAGTAGAAAGTTTTTTGTAATTTATAATTTTTATTTTTAATTGTAAATCTATGATAAATTATTTAAAAAAATTATAAATGATAATAATATAGATGAGTAGGTACCAACCTAGTTGGGATGCACTTATCTCTGTGATTAGATAATTTCTAAATAATTATAATTATTAGTGATTAATAACAAAGAATTTATTTTTTATTATTTTAATTTCTATGAACTTTGTAAGTTTTATAATTATAAGTGATTAATAATAAGATATAATTTTTATCAAAAATTTGCATATTTTAATTACTCTTAAAATTTCATATTTTTTGGCAAAAAATCTAATTCTTTAACATTTTTTGCAAAAAAAATTAAAAAAAATTAAAAAATTCCAGGTCAACCCGGTTTAGCCCGGTCCCGGGCCCGGGCTCTCTGGGTCCGTGTCCAGGCGGGGCATTTTGCCCAGCTCGGACCTAGAAATATAGGCGAGGCCGGCCTGTTTGGACATGCATACTTGGAATACAGGTAAACTTACTCGAAATACAATGAAATTAGCAAATATCATGCTTAGAAGAAAGATAAGTATAATATGTTTATAAGAAACTAAATGGATATGTGAAAAATCTAGAGAAATTTAAAAGACAAGTGTTGATGTTAAGTGATCAAACAATCAATTATATTGTAGGAGATGGGGTGAGGTTGATGAGGGGCCGCTTCCTTCCCTGAATATCCGATTTTGAGTTTAGTAGCTTGAGCCTGCACAAATAACAGTTCGTGAGAGGACGAGGCTTAGTTCCCTCATGGTTTCTATGATGATCAAGCCAGTTAATGAACTTGAGTGAGTGGAGAAATGAAGAACTGCGTAAGTTCTTTAGTGTAGTGGAATTGCTCAGAATCACTTACTTTGATATTTAGAATAGTACCTCTTTTTATACTGGTGATATAAGGGGTAGAATGATTACTTCGGCCGAGCAAAGGATGACGGTAAATAAGCATGGGCTGACAGCTGCGTCAACACCTCCTTTATACGTGTCGACCGACAAGTGGAGGAGAGATCATCTTAGCATTAAATGAGAAGTGATCGGGGCATGGCGGTGCCTACGTGGTCCAATGAGTCATGAATGTTATGTTTTTGGAAGCCGGAACTTCGTCTACACAGCGATCCCACAAGATCTCTCTCTCACTACACAGTTTGATCTCACAGATCACACTCCCTCACAGTAGATATCCACAGATCTCAACCACACAGCAGCAGAAGAAAAAACAAGCAAGAACCTCTCTTTACACAAGCCCCTATAGCAAAGAGAAGAGTACTGAAGCTGGGAAGTGAAACACACTTGAAACAGAGAGAAAAACAGAGTTTTGAAAATTTTCTCAGGAAACAGAAAAAGCTCTCTGGTTTTCAAACGTTAGGGCTTAGAGGAAGAAGAAGAGGTCTGGGGATTTTATAGGAGAGTTTAAATCATTTTAAAACAAAAAACAAATCTACCCAAATGAGATAATAATCTCTTCTTCAGACCCTCATCACAGACTGTGCCAATCACTAACAAGTGAAAGCACAGGGTTCGAGGCAAACGACCGTTTTAAAAAAGTCGCGGCTGAACAGAGGCAAAAATCGGTTGACCGAAGAAAATATCGGTCGACCGAAAAATACCTTCGGTCGACCGACCGAAAAAATCGGTCGACCGCCAGCAGCTAAGGAGTTTTGACAAAACATCCAGAGACTCATCGGTCGACCGGCACGGTCGACCGATTAAGGGTTGAGAAATTCGGTCGACCGTATCGATCGACCGACAACACTCTGGAGACATAGTGAAGAAAGGTCATCGGATCGGTCGACCGGACCGGTCGACCGATTTCTGACATATTCTGAAATCAGGTTATTTGACCAAGTTGAAATATTTCCAAAATATTCATTTGACCTCTGAAAATTCTGAAACTTTGTAAAATGTTTTTAATACTAAAAACAAACTGCTTGGAAAAAGAATTTTGCAGATAGGTACTCAAACTTGTGAAAAATAGTATTTTGTGAAAAACGCTTAAAAGCACAAGTTTAAAAACGTGTGTGTGATTCCCAATAGCTTCAAGTAAACTCAGTAACTCTTTGCCTACATTCTAGCACTAGAGAGAAAAACAAAAGAAAGCTAATATCCTCATATAGAGAGCAATATACTTGAGCTTTGATATAGCTTGAATCGGATGAAGCTTTTAATCGAATTTGACGTTCTTGAAATAACGTTGCTTCATCTCTTGGCCTCCTCCTCCTTTGGATATCTTCGTTGTAGCATATATTCCATCCATCCTCCATTAATGGCACTAACGAGCTTGACAAATGATTTTACTACATTTACACTCAATAAGCCATTAGTACCGATAATGGTGGTTGTAAGAACATCATCAAAACATAAGGGCTAACAATCTCCCCCTTTTTGATGATGACAACCAACCATTATATAAGAGCAAAAATGAAATAGCTTATAGATAGGTGCTCCCCCTATCTATGAGCTCCCCCTAAATATATGCAACAAATGAGGAGATTTCTCTCCCCCTTTGTCACCATCAAAAATGGGGTAAAGAGAAATGCCAAATGCAAAATGCAACTAATCAAGCAAGCAATGTAGAACTTTCACATAGTGCATAAGCCCAAACCATTTCTTATGCGACAAAAATCATCCTCTCCAAGAGGCTTAGTAAATATATCCGCTAGTTGAGATTTGGTGTCAACAAATACTAGGGATACATCTTGTCTCTCTACATGATCGCGTAAGAAATGATGGCGCACGTCAATATGCTTAGTTCTAGAATGCAAAACCGAATTTTTGGAAATATTTATGGCACTTGTGTTATCACAAAAGATTTTAATATTTTGAAAATTCAAATCATAGTCAACTAAACTTTGTTTCATCCATAAAACTTGAGCACAACATAAGCCGGCGGCAATGTATTCCGCTTCCGTAGTGGACAATGCAACACAATTTTGTTTCTTGGAAGCCCAAGAAACAAGGGAATTTCCTAAGAATTGGCATGTTCCACTAGTACTCTTGCGATCTACCTTACATCCGGCAAAGTCGGCATCACAAAAACCATATAAATCAAAAGTGGTGCTTTTTGGATAAAACAAACCAAGGTTAAAAGTTCCATTAACATACTTAATGATCCTTTTAACCGCAATTAAATGAGATGCTTTTGGAGACGCTTGAAAACGTGCACATGCACATACACTAAACATGATGTCGGGTCTACTAGCGGTGAGATAAAGAAGACTACCTATCATACCTCGGTATAGTTTTTGGTCCACATCTTCACCACTCTCATCCGCATCAAGCTTAACACTAGTACTCATGGGAGTAGGCGCATGCTTAGAATTCTCCAACTTGAATTTCTTCACCAATTCCTTCGCATACTTGCTTTGTGAAATGAAGATCCCATCCTTAGTTTGCTTGACTTGGAGCCCGAGAAAGAATGTAAGCTCTCCCATCATACTCATCTCAAAGTGATCCTGCATAACTTTAGAAAATTCCTTGCACAAGGATTCATTAGTAGCACCAAAAATAATGTCATCCACATATATTTGA